TGCCGAGTGAAACGAGCCCCGGGAAGTGGGCGATGGGAGCGGTCTGCTTCTGGGGCTGAGGGGATGAGCCACTGTCCCCTGGCCCAAAGCGCCCTGCGAGGGGGGCTGGGCCGGGGGATGCTGTCCCGGGCCCCCTCCCGAGGTGGGTGACCATGTGTCCCCAGCACCTGTCCTGTGAGTTGCTGAGAGGCAGCAAACAGGAGGAAGTGAGACTTGAGCACTCACCTGGATTCTGGTCCTTGCTCATCCCTGTACAGTGTTTACCTTGGCTTTGAGTATTGGGTATCCTTTCTTAAACAATGTAAAGCTAGAAGACCAATCTCAAACAGTGTTCAGCTGATCTAAATCAGACTGGGCTCTTTGTGTACCACTTAAATACAAAAGCTTTTGGGATGGAAGCTGTTCAACAGCATAGCAGACTAAACTGCTCTTGTGTGATGGAGCAGCATAGGTTGCCCAGATGAAACAAGAACAACCTCAAGTGGAGATATAGCCACTGATTGGGATTTTATTGTACTAATGCTCACCTCTTCCTCCTTTTTGTGATGAGAGAAACAGTAAAACAGAAGGAGGGGGAGGGAACATAGTAAATTAAGACGCTCTCAGCTGCTATCCCAACGCTAGGTTGGAAACTTGTTTCAACTGTAATCTAGTCATCAGTACCACTGCCTGCAGCATCTCTATTTTTTCCAAAGGTGTTCACTTCCAAACAGCGCACAGTGGACATCAGTGTGTGTCTGTGACTGGGGACAAACTAATGTGAGGTAAATGATGGTGTTGTATGCATACAAAAAAAATGTTTTCCTAAATGGTCCAGCTTGTAATTACTCCTAGTTTTAATGTAATGAGAGTACATTTCTACTTGGTTTCAAGATGGTCTTACTGGATCTCCTGTATTCTCCAGCTTCCTGTGCCATGCCTTGAGTTTGGAGTTGAATACAAGTTGCTAATGACAACACTGTTAGCTGATTCCTTCCTGTTGGGGTAATGCAATCATATGAAAAACATAACCTGTACCCCCCTCAGAGGCAGGGCCAGTGTCTGGCACTTGTTTCACACCTGAAAGTAATGCAAACTTCACAGGATTTGCAGGAATTGGGCCCCAGGCCACTGGGCCTCTTAACAGCAGCATCAGCTGGATCAACAGGCAAGTTGTGTGAGCAGCAGAATGAGTGAAGTCTGACACTCTGCAAAGCTGCAGTGTGTGTCTCATCATCGCCCTGTTGCACAGATCATGCACAGTAACTGTAGTACTGCAGTAACTAGCTATCTTCTCTCCTCCCCGGCAACAGACAGTTGTGCTGTGCTTCAGTTTGGAGCATATGTTGACTGATTGTTGCCACAGGGAAAGTAATGACCATGTTCTACGTGCCCTTCCCACAGACAGGGACTTTGAGCTGTCCTCAACTGCTGGTGACTTGTAGGAATTTCATTATCTTTAAGACTCTTCCTTCTCTTTCAATTTGTTTAAAACTAGTTCAGAAGCTCTTGGTGGGGGGAGGGAGGACATGCCAAATGTATGTAACAGTATGTAATCACATAAGATCTTTTTCTCTTGGAAATAAGACTTAACTGTGAACTGAATCCACTTGATAATCAGTGATGTCTTGTAACTAAAAACAATACACATGGAGTCTGTAATGTGATTATGTGCATAGAGGCAGTTGTTTCCAGATCAGAACCATTTTTGAAGCCTGTGGTCTGTTGAGATGCTTTCAAAAGCAACAAGAATAAGACTTTTAAGTTTACGTTTTTGCCCTGGCAGTCTTGTGTTATATCCCCCAGGTGAATCCTGGTGCTCTCTCCATACAATGTATGGAAGCCATTGGATGCTTACATGGATCTGGTTCTTCAGATCCTCAAAAGCAAAAATACCAGGGTGCATTGTTTATTCATATGTGTGCTCTGAAAGACTTACTGAAATATGTGTAAAGTCACTGATTGCTAATGCAGCTTCTAGAAGTTCTCCTTTCCAAATCCTCTGTTCTGCTTCTCTATGAGCTGCCACTAGATTTGTGTGCAGTTGCAGATAATTCCATCCATCTTCTCTTCTAGTGTGTGTTACCTTTCTGGGAAGGTTCTACCAGAGCCTAAAGGACAATGATGTTGAGTTCACACCTGCCAGTGTTGAAAAGGAGCTCTTGAAGTCCTGCAAAGAGGCAAAAGGCAAAGAGAACCGGCTGGTAAGTAGTAGTAAATCATACTTGCCCCTTGAACGAATAAGTTGTAAATGCTTGGCAAATGAGGGGAAACAAGTCTTTCTGTGTGTGTGTGATATAGCTTCCTGGAGGCTGTTCTTCCTAGCTATGTGGCCACAACTGGTAGTGTATTGTAATAAGATTTGATTTTTTTTGTTTGTTTGTTTGCTTGTTTTAAAAAGCAAAGTAGGCATAGTTCTCAACAGATGTGTTTTTAGCTGATCTTATTTTTCCCTGTTATTGAAGTTCTGGGGATTACAAAGCTTTATTTTCTGAAGGACTCCCCTGTCCTTTAAGTGGTATTTGGGATGCTATATTAGCTGTAAAGATATTCATGCTCTTTAGGTGAAAACTAAATAAAGCAAAACTGAATTGCACTAATTTAAAAACAGATGACAATCCCTGATGAAGAGCCCCAAGGAAAAGGTCCTGAATGCTCTCTAAGAGACCTGCAGAGGGACTCCATCAGAAATGCAGAGGGAAAACGCTTCAGAAAGTCTTTTCTCTTTGAAGAAGACTTTATCCTTAATCAAATCCAGCTCAATTCTTAAAAAACTGAGAAACAAGACAAACAGCCTCAACAACCATGAAGCAGTGTGACAGGAAATGTCTTTGCTTAGTACTAGTACTTTGGGCTTAGAGTTAGGCTTTCTCTTGCCTCTCTGTAGCAGTCACTTGGAAAGGTTCTGTAACACAAACCATCTAGCAGCGCAAACAACGCAAGGAGGGAAGATGGCTAGAAAACCTTCCTTTTAAAAGCATTTTTTCCCCATGCATCTCTACCTTGCTCTTTTCTTCCCTCTAGTGCTATTATATTGGGGCCACAAGTGATGCAGCTACCAAAATAATTAATGAGGTCTCAAAACCCATGAGTCATCACATCCCTGTGGAAAAGATCTGCGAGAAACTTAAGAAGAAAGACAGTCAGATCTGTGAACTAAAATATGGTGAGTTGCCAGCAGAAAGGGAAATGCCCGTGCTTTTCTGGGGTGCGAGTCATTTGGGGTAAAGCAGCATACAGGACTCTGGCTTACACATAAATTAGCCTTGAGTTGGCTTATTTTGAAAGGCGCTAGAACTACTTGCTCTTAAATTTTGTAATGAGATCACTAGCATAATTAGTTGCACAATGTGGGTTGTTCTCTTACAATGAGATGCTCAGGTAAGACTGTTTGATACTAAACCTTGTTAGCTTACAAAGAACCACAGATCTATCTTGGAAGTAACTAACTTCCAGGCATCAGCAGTGCTGCGCTCAAATCTGTCTGTAATAACTTACTTAGAGGAAGCTTGTCCTGGGGAGCAGCTAGGTGTGTCACTATGGATTGGGATGGTATCTGTTGTAGCTGAGGCCCAGGCCCTTGGTGACGCTCCCCAGCGTAGCTGCTCTCGTGGTTACTGGGTAGCAGGTGAACAAGCCCTTTCTTGCCTCCTCTGGTGTCTGTTCAGAGCATTCAGCAGTCTTGTTTTCTTGCCAGCTTTCTTGAACTCTTTTGTTCCTGGATGATGTATTCTTTTCCTTAAAAGACTAATGTGAAGAAAAGTCTTGGAAATACTTCCTTCTGACTGCTTCCCTGTAGCTCTGTCCTTATGTTCCTAGGAGACAGCCCTCGGATCATGGGTCTTTATAGTTCTCACTTACTGTATTAGATGTCCTGTTGTTTCCTTATCAGCTTTTCATTGTTGTCACTTGCTTGTCTTTCCTCTGAAATCACTACCCTCTTTTTTCCAGTGGAAGAGGGAATTAAAGCATTTCCTGTAGTATTAATAGATGGGATTTCGGGTTTCTTGTAGACCTCCTGCATCTAACTTGCAACCAAACTTTTTGGCTTCTAATAATGAATTTGGTTTAAAAAAAAAAAAAACCACACACACAACAACAACAGCAACAAAAGGTACCTGGTGCCAGAG